ATTTGGCCGCCTCCTGGCCACTTCCCGGTACGACACCGACCATCTGCACCCTGACCTCTGGCAGATCTTCGACAACCCCCTGGTGAGTGCCAGCCGTCTTGCTCAGAGAGCGGGACGTGCCCTTGGCTACAGGAGGACGCAGGTATGGGTGCACACACACGCTTACTCCCAGGTCCTGCTCCTGCCTGGGGAGAGGCCGTCGCAGTCGTGGCCCTGGGGGTCCCTCGGTGGGACCGGGGGGAGTGAAGAGGGCACACGTCAAGGTGCGCACCCCACCCCTTTCTCCCGCAGGACTGGAAGGAACAGTACATTCATGAGAACTACAGCCGGGCCCTCGAAGGGGAGGGACTTGTGGAGCAGGTGAGCCCCGTGCAGGACCCCCGACTGCCCCAGTGGCCACCGCCCCGAGTCCGCTGCGCCGTGTGGATGGGTGGTTCCCAAACCGACTGCCCTCGGGCAGACAGAGGCAAAGGCCAAGCAGATAGGCCTTGGCTCCCCACCCCGCCACTCGTCAGAGCGATTCTCTCTTGTCTGTTGGGCCTATTGGTGTTATGGGTGAAATGACAGTTTTGTAAAGAAGGCCCCCCGGGGCTCTGGCATGCTCCTGCCGTCTGCACCGGGTTCCCTGCGCCGCTCCCACCTTCTCCGGCCCCGCCTTTCCTGGCCCATCCCCGTGCTCTGATCCCTGTTCCCCCAGCTTCTCCCAACTCCTGGCTTCCCTTTCTGCTGCGGATTTCACGCCCCCTGGGTTGGCCGCCTGTCTCCTCCCGAGAGGCCTGCAAGGGTCCCCCGGCCCCATTGTTCTTCCCCTGCCCATCCTCAGCCGTGCCCAGACGTGTACTGGTTCCCGCTGCTGTCTGACCAGATGTGCGACGAGCTGGTGGAGGAGATGGAGCACTACGGCCAGTGGTCAGGAGGCCGGCATGAGGTGAGAGGGGCCAGGGCAGGGGAGGGGGCGTGCTCGGGGGAGGGAAGTGTGGCTGTGAGGGAGGGAAATGGAATCGAGAGAGTGGGAGCAGAGAAGGGGACCCCAGGGGAGAGGAGGAGAGGTGGGGGGACCCACAGGGGGTACAACTGCGTGCCTGTGTGCATGCATTCGTTCAGGAACTCCTTACCCGGGGCTGGCAGGTCCCAGACGCTGGCCACTGACCTAGGGGGTGTGACACGTTGAGCCACGCTGGTTGCGCCCTGCCCTCGTGCACTTCAGCTTCTAGCTTCCGTCGCAGTCCCAGCTCCTGAAGGCTGTGACAGGCAGCCCAGACACTGCGGGAGTCACAGGAGGGGCCCTTGGCCCAGATGTGGGAGGGCCGAGGGGCTTCACGGAAGAGGTGACATCTTCAGGGACGGTAGGGGTGGTCAGGCTAAACGGTCCAGGCTCCCAGACGCAGGTCACGCAAGCTTTCAGGGCTGAGAGCGAGAGGAGGGGGGAGGCTGGCGTGGCCCTGTCGGGGCTCAGTGCCCGTCGTCCGCAGGACTCGAGGCTGGCCGGAGGCTACGAGAACGTGCCCACCGTGGACATCCACATGAAGCAGGTGGGCTATGAGGACCAGTGGCTTCAGCTGCTGAGGACGTATGTGGGACCCATGACAGAGAGCCTGTTCCCAGGCTACCACACCAAGGTGGGCTGCCGCCCCTGCCGACCCCACGTCCACCCTCCCACAGCCCGGTCCTTGCTGGAAGTCTCCACACGGCGCCCCTTCAGCCCCTGTAGCACCCGGAGCCCCGTGGAAAGGGATCCCACAGGAGGGCTGCCCGGGGGGAGTTAGCAGTAAGACCCCTGCGGCCCTCCCCCTACCACCCTCCTCGGAAGGCCCCCAGGACCTCTCGGCCATCCTTCCGGTGTCTTCTCTCGTGTCCCCACAGACCCGGGCGGTGATGAACTTCGTGGTCCGCTACCGGCCGGACGAGCAGCCCTCTCTGCGGCCCCATCACGACTCGTCCACCTTCACCCTCAACGTGGCCCTCAACCACAAGGGCCTGGATTATGAGGTGAGCCCCTAGCGCCCTCCCGTGTCAGGACACCAGCAGGGCCCCTCCACACATGTGCACGTGCTCACGTGAGCCCCGGGGACCTCGCTGGCCTGCCCCCCACCCCCGACGATCCCCACACCCCCTTCCATCACCCGCCCTGCCCGCGGCCTGCCCTCAGTTCCTTCGCAGGTGCCATCTCCTGGGCCTCTTTCGGGCTGTGTGCCTGTCCCTCCCATGCCTCCCTTTTGTGCCAACCCTCCAAGCCCCCGTGCCTGCCTCTCACCCCCCGCTGTGGCGGCCTGCCCCCCAGCGCCCTGTCTGCTCACTATCTGCCTCCGATCCCCCGTCCTCTTGCAGGGAGGTGGCTGTCGCTTCTTGCGTTATGACTGCATAGTCTCGTCCCCGCGGAAGGGCTGGGGGCTCCTGCACCCTGGCCGCCTCACCCACTACCACGAGGGGCTGCCCACAACTTGGGGCACCCGCTACATCATGGTGTCCTTTGTCGACCCCTGACATTCAACCACTCTGCCAGACTCTCCCTACCATTGTGCCTTCCCGTGAGCACGCCCCCCCCTACAGCCTTGAGGGGGGGGGGGGTCTGCCTGGCGCCTCCCTTCCTGAGTGGATGCTCGGTGTGCCTGGGACTGAATGTGTCGCCTCCCCCCCAACACACAGCCCTCTCAGGAAGCTCCTGGGAGCCCCCCTTGCCCTGCCCCACAGTCCCCAAAGGTTCATGGGGAGAAGGCTTCTGGGGGCTCCCCATACAATAAATTATTGTTTCTCAGCCTCCCTTCCAATAAAGGAGGATTTGTAACTCTTGAGTCCGTGTCCGTCTTTCCCCTCGCCACTGACCCCAAATCCTTCCTGCCCCCAGAGCAGAGGGGAGACCTGGAGTTACTCCAAAGAAAAAGAACAGAGAGGAAGAGGAGGCAGAAGCAGATTGTAGAGCAGTGTGAGAACTGAGAGGCTTCCCTGGATGCCATTTCTAACTCCCCTGTATTGCCTGGGGGTGGGTGGGGAAGCCAGAGAAGGCCCAGGCCCAAAGACCTCGGCACCACCTCTGCAATCTCTTCTCTGAAGCTCTCATCACTGGAGGTCATTTTCTTCCTTGTGTGAAGTGTGGGGGTGGCAGATCCCTAGAGCTGGACTCTGGGGACAATGCCAAGGGAAGCATGCGTTCCAAGGGAAGACACAGGAGGCTTGTGGGACCCAAGCTTTTGGGTAGGAAAGATCAGGAAAAGGGAAGCCTTGGAAGGTCATCCCAAGAAAGCTTCCTGGAAGGGGGGAACGGGAAGTATACTGCCTTCGAAAGAGGTGAGACCTCCTGAGAGCTTGTGTCTTCCAGCCTCTTGGGGGGCGCCCATCAAGCCCTTGCCAAGCGAGCAAGACCCGTGGAGGAGCCCTGCGGACCGCCTTTTGAAAACCAAATATTTGCGGGTCCTTGGGCATTTCTAGCCTTGAACACCTTACCTGCCATCCAGCCCTTCCTTCCTATTGCCTGGACTCCCAGGAAAACCTCCCCAGTGAAACCGGCCTTCCTGACGGGTGGGGCCAGTCCCCCTGCCATGCAGACTTATCATCTCTATGGCCAGACTTTTTAGTGCGTCTCACCTGGTCTCCTTGTGGATGGAAGTGGGTTGAGCAGGGACTGGAGAAAATACCTCTGGGCCGGGGGGGGGGGGGGGGGGGGGGGGGGGGCGGGGGCCCGTCGCAGAGCGGGTGGGGGGGATGGAAGAGAGGGCGAGGGACGCGTGCAGAAGGACCAGTGGTGGCGG